TCTCTCTCTCTCTCTCTCTCTCTCTCTCTCTCTCTCAGTACCAGGCACCAAAAACTTCCCTTTCAGTACCATGTAAAACGTACACATTTTCCTCTCAGTGCCATGTTGCGGGAGGTTGGAGGGCGCTACTGGTTGGTTTTATTTCTTTGCTTTCCTTCTGTTGAGTCTGCTGTTGATTCTGTCTGCCTCTCTGTCTTACTTTTTCCCTGTACAAAATTGGCCTTCATTGTGGCGAAGTGCTTCTCTGTACTCAAACATACACATTTTAGGCAATCAGACAAAATGAGTTACGTCTATTGGATTGTAGCCGTATGGAAATTAATACATCAACTTTATTGGTGGAGTTTGTACAATTCGTAAGTATGGAATAATAAAAGACACGGTAGGCTTGAACAAAATGGTATCAACTGAAAATCTATAAATCGGACCCCAGTGTTGATTTTTGGCCGATATCTCCATCCATTCTTGGATCGCGAGAAGTCGCTCGTTTTGTCAGCACGCCTCACAAATATCAGTTCCATGTAAAATAAACTTGCCTCTCGTAACACAACCACAAACATCTTCACACATACGTATTGCTTACTTACAGATCCCATAATCTACGATGATCGTAGAGGCGCTGTGAGAGAGAGAGCCTTGTCATAATGATTATGTCTCCTCTTGTCCCGTTTTTTGTTTTGTTTGTTTTTTGTTAGCGCAGCTGAGTTTGGGCGAAAGATTTCCCTTTTTCGCAATGTAGTCGGTCCGCCTCTTTCTTTGCATTCCTCTTTTTTCTCCACCCTGCACAGTTCCCTGATGAATGATCTTGGATTTCGCGACACGATCTTGTTACAGGACAATACCAAATCAGTTTTCTTCGCTTCACAGTAGACAGCACATCTAATGGTGACTCAAGTGTTGTTTCACTCTACTGCGCACTTTCTCATTTGTGTCGGGGTCCTTGTATGAGATGCCAACGAGTCATCTAGAGCACCTTATTTCGGCTTCCTCTGAAGCTCTGCCATCAAGGCCCACGATTCGCAAGCGTACAGAAGGATGGAGATGACGAGGGCATAGAGTAGTCTGATTTTGGAATTGACTGAGATGATTCGATCTTTCCATAATTTGTCTTAGTCTTGTAAGCGCCCCTGTTGTTTGTGCAATTCTTGCATGGACTTCTGACTTATATCCTTCTTGGCTGATGATAGCACCAAGGCGTTTGAACTGTCGACTGTTTCAAGCTGTTGACCATTAACCGTAATTTTGGTTTTAATTGGTCCGTCACTATTTCTCATCATTTTTTTTTCTCGGCACTAATTTCCATGCCATATCTGGTTGACGTTCCATCGAGAAGTTCACAGAGAGAGAGAGAGAGAGAGAGAGAGAGAGAGAGAGAGAGAGAGAGAGAGAGGGAGGGAGAGAGAGAGTTAAATATCGCTCAACTGACCAGTATGACTCATAACATAATTCCTCTCGATCTACGTTTCTCTTATAGCTTCAAACCTTAATAAACGTTCTAACTCCAATTCTCCCCTTCCGTTCTCTTCTCCCCCTCCCCCCCCCCTTTCACGACCAACACATCGCATGAAGATAACCACCCACCCCAGGTAAAACTCCTGTATTTAATATAGACATATTATTTTTACATCCCCTTCTAATGCACACTCACACGAACGCACAATAAATTCATTATTCACCACACAAAGATAAAAAGAATTGTTTTAGTAAGTGTTTCACAGCGCTCACAACATAATAAGGCCACATACGTGCCGAAGATTAGAGGTGTTTCAAGAGGGTAACAAACACTATAAAAGAAGGAAGGGAGATAAAGACGATAATATATGTGTTTGATAGGAAAGAAGAAGCAAACCATACCAGAGCACCCGCCAATCACCCACAAAAAGAAAGAAAGAAAAGTAAATCCCCCGTAGCCAGAGAGGAAGTAAGGGTGCACGCCCGCCCAGATCTCCCAATAAAACGACGCCCCATTTTCTCACAGGTTGCTTGCTGTTGAGTGAGCGCTCCGGGACGCTACGCTCATCCTTCAGCATTGTATTCCATTTAGGATAGCTTAGGGCCACGGCTCGAGAGAAAGAGAGAGAGACAGAGAGAGAGAGACACAGAGAGAGAGAGAGAGAGAGAGAGAGAGAGAGAGAGAGAGAGCCAGAGACGGGATCTTTCCACAGAAGAAAAGGCGAAAAGAAAGAGAAATCGTGTGTTTGGTTGGATTGAACTTATTTATTTAGGAGCCAAGCCGCGAGCCAAACTTCTCGTTTTCCTTTCACCTTCATAAAAGCCTGGGTTCGTTGGGCGCTCAAACTTGTTCAAGTTTCCCCGCAGTGTTGCACGGAATTAAAGGCATTCTCTGGTTGACAGAGAGAGGGAGAAAGAGAGAAAGAGAGAGAGAGAGAGAGAGAAGGAGAAAGAGAGAAAGAGAAAGACATTCTTATTGAACCCACGTCGCCATAGGCTGGACAATACTCGTGATCTTTTGTTTGCTACCTCCCTTACTCCCCCCCAGCCCCCTTAACTTCACTCCGTCCCTACTTCTGCCCTCACTCCTCTCTGCTTCCTACTCCCTCCCTCATACCCCCACCCCTTCTATCCCTACATCCTCCCTCAGTAATCCCCCCTTCCCTCCACTCCCTACTTCTCCCCTAATTCTTCCCTCACTCCTGCCACACATTCCCTCCCAACTCCTTCTTCCCCCTTCCTTCCCCTATCTATTTCTTCTCTCACCCTCACCCTTTCCCTTCCCTCCCTACCCCATCACTCCTCCCCGCTTCAACTCCCTCCTCCTCCTCCCCTCCCCTACCCCTCTACCTCCTTCACCTTCCCTACCCCTCGGCCCTACCCTTTTTGTTCTATCAAAATATTTATTTCCCTCTAACAGCTAATGAAAAACAATTAAAATCAGATGGTGATGAAAAGGGAGATGATACTGGTGATGACAACAGGTTGCTTTTAAGTACGAAGGGGCAGTCCCGAAAAATGCTGTTTTGAGACAATCGAAGGTAAAGTTTTTGCCCCTTGTTCACTTTCTTTAAAAGACAAGGAGAGTTTTCTCTATAACCATAAAAATATACACTCCAACGGAACCAAACTCCCCGTGAAGGTAGGGCGATGCCCACTTTTTGAGTAGGTCAAGATTTCTGGTAACCCCCGAAATCTGGGTTAGCCCACTTGTGCTTAAAAGCGACCAATTATAATAACAATAACGATGACGTCAACGATAGTACTGATGATGAGAATTATCATTACGATAATGAAAAAACGCTGACAGCAGACAGAGAGAAAGACATATAGACAGACAGATAGATAATTAGACAGACTGACACGGGAACATATAAACAGACACACACAAGGACGTACAGACAGACGTACTGACAGACAGACAAACTGACAGACAGACAAACTGACAGACAGACAGACATACACAAAGTGACATGCGTACTTGCAGACACTTAGACGGACGAGCATACCCACAGAGAGACAGACAGACAAACGGACGAGTATACTCACAGACAGACAGACAGACAGACAGACAGACAGACAGACAGACAGACAGACAGACAGACAGACAGACTGACAGACAGAAGGACGAGTATAATCACAGACAGACAGCCAAACAGACAGACAGACAGACCGAAAGACAGACAGACAGACAGACGGACAGACGGACAGACAGACGGACGAGTATACTCACACTACAAAAGACGCGGCGTGCCATGCTCTGGTCAAAGTTTCCCACGATGATTCTGACGTCATGCGCCTGGAAGAAAGGGAGAGGTCAAGGTCAGAGGTCAGAGGTCAGAGGTCATAAAACAGTTATAACCCCCGCACCACCACCAACATCATGCCTCTCCATCCCCATCCACGATAAACAAATAATAATAATAATTATCATCATCATCAGCAGCAGCATCATCATCGCCATCGTCATCATTCTTATCATCACCACGATAAACAAACAAATATACAACTGCTCATCATCATCATCTTCACCATCATCATCATCATCATCATCATCATCATCATCATCATCATCATCATCATCATCATCATCATCATCATCATCATCATCATCGTAATTGTCTATAATTATCATCATTATCATTATAATCATCGCCAAGTGCCAGATCTTCGGCAAACATCGGCAATCGTGATAGTTTGGGATAGTACATGTATGTGATAGCGTGTGATGGTCTGTGATAGTCTCTGATAGTTTGTGATGGCTTGTGAAAGTTTGTGAGAGTACGTGATAGTTTGTGACCGTTAGAGGTATTTTGTGATAGTTTGTCATAGTTTTGTCATTGTTTGTGATAGATTGTTACAGTCTGTGATAGTTTGGGATGGTTTGTAATTTGGAGCTATTTTAATTTTTCAAAGGATAGTTTGTGATACCTTGTGATAGACTGTGATAGTCTGAGATAGTTTGTAATTGATAGTCTGAGATAGTCTGTTATAGTTTGTAATTGATAGTTTGCGATAGTCTGTGAATTTTTGTAACTGATAGTCCGTGATAGTCTGTGAAAGTTTGTAATTGATGGTCTGTAATTGATAGTCTATGATAGCCTGTGGTAGTTTGTAATTGATAGTTTGTGATAGTCGGGGATCACCTTGAGGTTTTTGATGGCTTGCTCCGGGTCGTCCGCGAAGCTCTCCACGATAGAGATGTTGATTTTGTTTTTCTCCATCAGGCTGTCGAAGCGGTTGTGGGCCTGGGGAAGGGACAGTTTTTATTAAAAGTTTTAGTAGAGGTTTTACGGCGCTCACAACTGCATAAGGTCATATGAGCGCCAAGCGGTGGGTGTCAATAGAGATGTCTTTACAGGGAATCAGACTTACTCTGCTCACCTCTCTAGCTTCAACAGCACAAAGTCAGCTTCGACTATCAAGGCATCCCGGAAATAGCTGGTCACAGGAGTGTGACAAGCATACAACTTCAAAGAATTACATTCTCCAATGCTTAACCCAATCCGTATGTTGTGTTTTACTATCGTATCCATACGACGTGGGGAACTCTGTGCCACCACTTTCAAAGAGGACAGTTACTAATTAATCCGACCCCTACGCTTTTGCATAGCAGTCTGTCAAAATGACTTTTAGAGAAATACTGAACATTTCAAAGAGATCTAGTATTATAAGTACTCTAAAATGTGAAGAATACAACCGCGGGGGTACAAAATGACCCCAGGGCGTACGGATAGGGCTAACATATTATGAAACTCAATAATTTCGACGCCACATTTTGTCAAAACTAGGTATTGAGCAGAGATAACTTTGTTTAATAATTCTGAGGTAGCGAAATGTTTTAAAAGACCTCACCTTTCCAGACGTAACGAAATGTTTAAGACCTCACCTTTCCAGACGTAACGAAATGTTTAAGACCTCACCTTTCCAGACGTAACGAAATTGTTAAGACCTCACCTTTCCAAACGTAACGAAATGTTTAAGACCTCACCTTTCCAGACGTAACGAAATTGTTAAGACCTCACCTTTCCAGACGTAACGAAATGTTTAAGACCTCAACTTTCCAGACGTAGCGAAATGTTTAAGTGTAAGACCTCACCTTTCAAGCATCCAGGAGATCATTTGTAGTCTTAGAGAGTGTAAAAACGTGACAAATAAAGGTTTCACAACAGAATTAAATCAAACTTAGAACAGAACACAAACAACCACAAAAAAATAACAAATTAAGAGCGTGTGTGTGTCCACCTATCCGAAGAGTGGCCGTTTTAACCCTAACCGTGTGTTATTCAAGAAAAAGTACAGGATATTACATGTAAATAAAATTATGGAATCACACACAAGGGGCCTGCCAGTGTCAGTACAGGTACATGTATTCAGGTTTGGTGGAGACACGCTCTCACATAACGCATTAAAAAGAAGGTAGGATCAACATCAAATTAAATGATATTGACACTACGATTAAAGCTAAAAATTTAAAATAGAAAATCATCCGAATAAAAACAAGAATAATAGAAAATAACACACCAGCAAATTAAAACACAACAAAGAGAGAAAAATAAAAGAGAAATATTGATATAAATAGTATGAAAAGTACAAGACTTTTTCTCACATGAAAATAACAAATAAACGTGGGGTCAACACGTAAGAAAGAGAAGAAGTGAAGCGGAAGTGTAAATAAAACTTTCTTTCGAAAAGTAAAGAGTTTCCGGGTTTTTTTTTTCTTTTTCGATTTGTATATGTCTACCCCGTTTTTCAAAATATTTTTCGATATTTTCTTCCCCGGTGGTGTGCTTTTTGGGAAAATGCAAAAAATCACGACCGCGATTCTAGGGCCAAAAAAATATGCCAAAAATCGACAAACGCAGATGCTAGATTAGGAAAGAAAAAGCAGCAGTTCCCTGTTGTAGTTCAGGCACAGTCATGAGAACGACATTGTTGGATCAGCCTTTTTACAGTTCTGTTGTGCAATAGAACGAGAAATGTCCCCCCTTTAGAAATGACCTAAAGACACTTCAGTCTGTAGCGCCGCCCTGGGGGGG